CCAACAGCCCAGCCCACCGTCCCCACCATAATGTATACACGCTACTCCCCCCCCCCCCCCCACCCCCCCCACACACACACACACTGACAATTTCCTACTGTTACAATCCCTTGCACATCCTTTCCATGTTTCTATATTTAAATACACTTGGCACTTTTACAATATACTTGTTTTAAAGTACTGTCATCTGTTTGTATGTCTACCATATTTTATTGTACATTTTAATATGCTTCTATTTTTAAATGATGTCTCGATTATTGCACTGTGTTCATTGTTCATTGTTATGCACCATTGACCTAGTAAAATTCCTTGTATGTGTAAGGTACTTGACAATTAACGGTCTGATTCTGATTCTGAACACCGGTAACAAAACCAGTACCAAAGCCAGTACTAACACCAGTACCAACACCAGTACCAACACCAGACACATATTCCAGAGGAACACTGAATTAGAAAACAAAAGTAATACAATTGATAGATTAATGATTAAAAGGCCACCATAAGTTCACCTAGAAATAAGACCAATACAAAAGACAATAAATATGTCACACAAACACACATCTTCGTTTTACAGCTATGCATAAAAGATGTTGTAAAGTGTTTTTGTAGAGAAACTGCATCCTTAAGTGTTCACCTGACCTTTTACTAAAACTAACAAAGAGCAGCCTTCAAACTGAAGTAGGGTATAAAGTCACGATTCCTTCCTCCAGTGGTGGGCCGTCAGGGCCTGCAAGGCCTTCTCTGCTGGCCTAGACAGAATCACAAAGTTGTAGCTATTTTATAATTTAATCATTTTTCATAAATACACTACATGTATTATTATTTATAAAAATATTTTTCCCATTATCTTATTTTCTCATTGCACAGCTACTGTCTTCCTCAGTTGCTCTGCTTCCAGTGCAGCTTGTTTTAAGTAGAGCTTTCATCCAATCAGATCTCACCTCTGTGTCTCTAGGTAAGAACAGAGGCAGAGGCCTGCAGACTCACAAGTGAATCCATGTGCAGTTTAAGTGAATGGGGACGATATTGTTGATTGTCATAGTGTTCAACCAATCAGATCTTTAGTTTGACATGTTGGGCGTATTCTTTGACGTGTCAGAGCCTGCTAGCTGGTCTACAAGTACGTGATTGGTCAGTGGTCTAGCATGACATGTTGGGTGGTGACAATCCCAATATCTGCTGCCTCTGTGGAGCGGACATTTTCAGCCTCAAACGTATTCAAGAAATACAACTGGGGAGGCTCGACTGTCTTCACTGGCGTCCACGAATGGAGAAGGACTTCTTACTGGAACTAAAATGCACGGATGTACTGAACAACCGTGAGATTAAACTCTTTATGAACAAAGAAAGGAGCATGGACTTTGTCTTTAAATAGTGAACAGCAGCTCTGGTAAGTGAACTGCTTTTGTTTTTACATCTGCAGTAGCTTTAATATGCTTCTTTATATATTATTATTTGTACAACTAGTTTTTATGAAGATTTTTGTTTGGTTTTATATGTGATAGGAACCATTGTTACATCCAATGTTGCTCTGGGGACACATTTAGTCGGTGCCAGTGTTGCCAATTTGGCGACTTTCTCGCTAAATCTGGCGACTTTCCAAACCCTCATGGCGACTTTTTTTGTCAAAAGCTACTAGTGACAAATCTAGCGACTTTTTCTGGTGTTGTTGGAGACTTTTCTCGTGTTTTGACTCTGACACAAAAGCACGTACCGTTCTGCACTGAACGAGCAGCGGGTGCTGCCGTGAGCCGCCCCAAAGCACTCACAGGCGGTTACTCTCACAGCAGCCTCACGGAGCAGTCCCAGCTGCAGTCAGAGCAGGAGGCGTATTCATGTATCTGCACTCTGCAGTTAGTGTATTTATAGGTGTTGAGCTTAATTTTTACACGAAACAAATAATAACCGTAGCTGTGGCGTCATAATGAGGTGTTTCAGCTGCAGGACAGCAGTGAAGGCCCAGGTATAAAATGCACGGCCCGCCACTGCCTTCCTCCAATACCCTTTTCTGAAGACTCAGGAGCTAAACCAAGAACTAGCCTTTATTACAAACCTTTAAAGTTTCTATTATTGGCAAAAATGTTGTTACCTCACATAGATGAAACACAAAACAGCACTCGATACAAAACTCTGATGTAAAAAAGTACAGACGTGAGCAGGGTCATCCTTAAATCAGAGGATCGGTGGTTCGATCCCCTGTTTCCCTAGTCCAGGGGTCGGCAACCTCACGAGCCACATGTGGCTCTTTAGCCTATCTGTTGCGGCTCCCTGAGTCTACATCAGGGGTCCCCAACTGGCGCACCGGATCCGGACCCAGGAACTAAAAACCGATAGATAATTCGGAATTATACATATTGGGCACCGAGTTTAAACTTTAACCGGCGCCTCTTATTCAGCTGTTACGGCACTTGTTCGGCGGTGCAGGAAACACACCGACCAGTGTATTGCAAATCACACCACTTGATGCAGCTCAGCCAATCAAATATGAGTATTCTGACAAGTTTCCTGACTCGAGCGAGGTTTACACACACGTGACAAACGGGGCTGAGACGAGGAAATAGAAAGAAGAGCAGGGAAATTGCGCCAATCGAAGATGTTATGTCACATGACGTTCTCCAAAAAGAGAAATGTGTTTCAGAGAGAATATAATTCATGAGCAAGAATGAACAGAATCTTATATGTTAATTCTTCCCACAGGCAGTTAAATCCTCTACTCCTGTCAAGCGCTTTTCCCTGCAGGTGGCTGATCATGATTTTCAGCCCCCGCCCTCTGTAAACTATCCATGGATAAATCCAAATAAAGAAAAGTCACAGAGGAAAATAGAGAGTTTAACTCTGCGTGGACGTATTAATTTGCTTTCACTGCCAACGATGCTGACTTACCTGTATGCTTCCAGAACAAGCACACAGCATTTGCTGAAAAGTGTCACGCTGGAGATGAGCGAAAAAGAGCGATTTCTCAACTGCTGCAGCAAACTCTCCTCTTCATAAGAGTTTGATATTGTTATATCAGGTAAAATTGCAAAGAAATGTCAAGAATTGTCTTTATTCTTGTTCTATATTTTCATAAATACAACAAACTATAGTTTTTGTATATATAATATAACTATATATAACACTTTATAAGCTGTGATATCAAATAGCTTTTGCGTCTCCAAACAAATTTTATTTGGTGGAAAATAGGGCAAAATGGCTCTTTGGATAGAAAAGGTTGCCGACCCCTGCCCTAGTCGCATGTCGAAGACACTTAACCCTAAAATTGCTCCTGTAGTTCTGCCTACGATGTGTGAATGTGTGTGAATGTTAGTTAGTCCTGATGAGCAGGTGGCACCTAGCATGGTAGCCCCTGTCATCAGTGTATGAATGAGTGTGAATGGGTGAATGATGATGTAGTGTTAAAGCGCTTTGAGTGGTCGGAAAGACTAGAAAAGTGCTGTTCAAGTACAAGTCCATTCACCATTTACTATTCATCTTCCTAATATTAAATTTCAGATAATTAACAGCACATCAGCTGACGAATATGTCAACCTCGACAGTATAGGTCTACATCTTTTTAATTGAAACACTCAAACATCATTTGTTTGTTTGTCAGACCTCATTTATAACTAAGTTGGAATTCCACTTACATGTACTACAGTCTATGTGGACGTATCAGTTGTCAACCTCATGGTTGTCAACTATATTGCGTTTCAAATACCCAAATCATTCTAACTATACTGAAATTGTATGTTTGGGTATGTGCAGAAAGTGTAAACATGTATGTGTGTGATCCTACCTGTTCACCCCGTCAATGCACTTGCCCTGATTCAAACAGGGAATGTTAGCACATTCATTGATGTTGACCTCGCAGTCATGGCCCTGGAAGCCGGCCATGCACTCACACGTGTATGTAGCGACGTGGTCTCGGCAGGTGGCGCCGTTCTGGCAGGGAAGCACCTCGCACTCATCGATCTCCACCTCGCAGTTAATCCCTGCAGGGCACAGAGCGGGCATGGCAGCGGGCCAAGGACTCAGATACAACACAATAAGACTGGAGCTGCAGACGGACAACAGCAACACAGACTAATGCTACTTAAACAAAAAAAAAGCCATGCAACTTCTGTTCATATAGTTACTGGCATAAAAGCTCAATCCATCTTGCTCTCTATACAAAGATAACAAATAAAGCATATATTTGTACTGACTGAATTAATCTCTAACCAAAGAAAAATTTCCTTTAAAGATTTAGTGTTTGTCTGAATCATACTGCTAAAAATTGGCAAATTTAAAGTCACTGAAAGTTGCCACAAAATCCTGGATAAATGCAAGGTTAGCATAAAGGTTCGGCTGTGGCTCAGTGGTGGAGCATTTTCCAATCTGAAGATTGGCGGTTCAATACGGACTGACTGAACTACAGTATGGTAGGTTAGGAAAAGATCAAGGTTATGGCAAATGAAGTATGGCTATGGCATAGCAGTTTAAACACAAAAAAGACTGTGGTTACAGTTTTAAAAAAAAGTTAAGCATAAATTCAGGTGTCTGACACAACACGCATGCTGGTCAAATGTGCTACACTAATCCACTACCCTGGTCTTCAGACTCTTACATTCTGCTTCTCTAAATAAAGGCCACACTACCTCCTATATTGGCACTTCACATTAGTATTGGCGCTGAATCATCCAATATGGACCTAATTCATACAGATAATGGGATTGACAAGACAAATTCACGCAGTCTCTTGAGCACTATCTTACCCCAGATGTTGTTGTGTCTCAGTTAGTATTAGTAATTAAATTAAACACACATTTATCGCCGCACAGCTTGAAGCTCCGGTTCTTAAATGAAGAAATTTGAAGAACCACATCGACCGCTACAAAGTCATCTCAGAGTAAGAGGCTTGTGTCCGGGCAGAGATAGGTCATAGTGTGTTTGTTACCTTGCTTTGCTTTGTTCTAAGTTACTGTATTGTTATAACGTGTTATTGTTACGGACCGCAGAGTTCCGTTAGTGCTGTGAAGAAACTACTGTTGTATTCCATGCTGCTGTAATAGTGTTGTGTTGAATCAGTCACCGCGAGTGAAGTTGGGAACTGTAACGAACAGTTAAAAGACCAGAACCGCAGCTGAGTTTCGGGTTTCTGTGTGATAGAGAAATAGTTCCTGTATTTTACTGCGGCGGTGAGGTCTGCCTTGTTTGGAGTGTTACTTTTTTCTCTTCCTTTCTTTGTCTTTTTGTTTAACTAACCCCACACACACACTCTCACACACACATATAGGTTTTGCTACTCATCTCAGACACACGTGGTGTGTAAACGCGGCCTCTATCGTGGCCCCCGTTTTTTTAGTTTTTAGTAGAGGTGATCAAGTACAAGACGACATTCGCCATTTTGGTAGTCCTATCTATCTTCTGCCATTTCTGTAGTGTAAACACCATTTTGATAGTTTTCATTCCAAAATGCGATTTTGTAGTCTTGTGTGGTCACGAGACTGCATCCGCCATTTTAGTAGTTTTGTTGCTTCTCCCCATACACACACAATACAATCTCTCACCACGGATTGTTTTTTGATTTTAGATAGTAGGCTCGTATTTGTATAGTATTAGTTGTTTTTAGTTTTAGATATCATTTTACTTGATCAATGTTATTAGAATTTAATAAACTCTGTTATACTTTAAAGAGCAGCTTTCTGCGCTTACTTTGTGCATGTGTGTTGTGATAATAGCTGGATATCCTGGACTGTGCTCAAATTCAAACCTTCATGTTTCACTCTGAATGTGAAATAGTACTTTGACTATTGACATTTTGAGTGAATACTAATTATGAGACTTTATAGTTTGGTTATTGGTTCCTATTCTCAGGGTGGTGCCCCGTTATTATTAATATTAGTTACTAATCTTATTGATGTTAATAATTGTATTAATGGCAATAATTTAGTTTTGATACTGATAACCAAACACGCTCCTGCCAGTATTTAGGTAGAAAATCGTATATCTCCTTCCAACCTCTCTGTGTAACAAGTATCACTATTACACAACGCTTAACTAGAATGAGCTCCAGATCAACTAAAGCAGCCTGAACATGAAGAACATAGGAAACTATTGATGAGAGTCTATGGAGCAGAGCTGCATATATGTTTAATAGTCAAATATATTTATATTAAATGTCAGATCATTAACAAGAATCTCTGATCCAATAACATGAATTCCTCATTTCAATATCCCAGCCAATCTTAACCCTGACTTACTAAACAGCGGCTCACCTTTGAAGCCTGGAGTGCAGTCGCACCTGTAGTGATCCACCTCATCCAGACATCTGCCATTATTTTGGCAGGGTTGAGAGGCACACTCGTTGATGTCCAAGTCGCAGTGGAAGCCTTGAAATCCAGGCACACAGAAACACTGGTAGGCGTTAACCCCGTCTTTACAGATGGCTCCATTCTGACAGGGCTGAGACTGGCATTCATCTATGTTTTCCTCACAGTTCCTCCCTTGGTACCCAGCAGCACACTGGCACTCGGGCCCAACGTCAGGGACGTCCATACAGGTGCCAGCATTCTGGCATGATATCTCTGAACAAGTGGTGACGTTATTCTGGCAGTGCTCCCCTCCCAGTCCCAGGGGGCAGTGACAGGAATAGCCATTTACTCTGTTGACACAATTGGACTGGATACCTTTGCAGGGGTTGCTCTGACATTCATCTACATCCTGAGTGCAGTTGAGCCCTGTGAAGCCGTCCAGACAGTGGCAGGTGAACTCGTCAGTCCCAGGCTTGCTGGTACAGTTGGTGCAAGGCGCCATGATACAGGCGTCATACAGCTCATCACAGTTTTTGCCCATGTACCACACCGGTCCTTTGGGGCAGAGGCACACATAGTCACCCAGGGAGTCGAGACATGTGGCATTATTGTTACAGGGAGATGACAAACACGTGTCTGCTGCAGATGTGCACAGTAAGCCTGGAATGGAAGACAAAATTGCAATTAAAGATGCAATACGCAACACTTTGCATATAACAAATCTGTCTTTCTCACAAGCCGGATTCCCAAACAGGGATGGAGAGAGGTAGTACCATACTACCAAAAATGTAAACATTGCATATTTACCTTTGTCTTTCCCAAATTCAATTCATGTTAAAGCCCTATTCGGCGATGCAAATAGCACATTGACTCCCCTCTGCCACACAAACGTGCTGGTGATGATGGTAGCAACAATGGTAAAGACAAGAGTGCTATGAAAATAAACTTAGAATTCCAAGGAAAGGAAAAACACCAAGGTAAACCTTTTAATTGACAAGTGACCTCAATTTCTGAAAAATACCACTAAAACACCAAAGTAGTTTGAGCGTAATCTCCAAAAACACTGATAAACTCACAGATTACCCCTTTATATTCTGTTGAGTCAATATGTCCCCATGAAGGGTTTATGGTTTATGTCCATATATATATACTGTATATATATATATATATATATATATACATACTTTTTGGATATATGTTTATATTTATATTGTACATATTGTTAAATGTTTATACCTACATCTGGTTTTTATTTTGCTGCCCTTTTTTATTTTTTATATATATTTTTATTTTGATTGTTTATTGTAAATTTGTGTACGTACATCGAGAGCCAAGTGGAAACCGGAGTCAAATTCCATGTATGCGTACGCATATAAAGCTGATTCTGAATATGTAATGGGACGTACTTAAAAAGCCTGCCATGAAGGTACACAACTGTGAAAGAGAACTTCAATATACTGTAAGTGAACTGAATACCTGTTGGCTAACACAGTACACCGCCTTTCCTTTGTGACCTTTAGCTGCATTGCCCCCTGGATTATACAGTGGGCTACTACAACTCTGACCTTTAGCTACCTTTAAGTTCACAGCAGATGGTGTTAAAAGCAAACGTATTACATGCAGCTGTCAATGTTGTCAATGAAAGTTTTTCTCATTACTGTTTGTACACAGTTTGTACTTCAGACTGTGATCTATAGAACAATAGTGATATTACTAACCTGAAAAATGCAAAAGATGGTTGAGAGTTGAAAATAACATACTTTCTGGAGGGGTACGACCTGTTTACTTAAAGGGCCAGTGTGTAGGATTTGGTGGCATCTAGCGTTGTGGTGGCAGATTACAACCAACCGAATACCCCTCCGCTCACTTCTCCCTTTCCAAGACTGCCGTAATGTGAGTCAAGTGCATAACCGTGGTAACACTGTTCATCTTGCTCAGAGACCATCCATACCGTAATAACTTTACTTTAGGAGAAACAGAAGTCAGACGGCGGCTGGCGATACCATGATTTAACCCTCTGCGGCTCACTTTACCGCAGTTTCACAAGTGCGTAGAGAGCTACAGTGGCCTTCAGGTAACGTGAAAGCACGAAAGGCCCTCTCCAGAGCCAGTGTTTGGTTTGACCGTTCTGGGCTACTGTAGAAACATGGGGTGCTAAGTGGCAGATTCTGTGAATGTAGCTATAAGGGCTCATTCTAAGCTAATGAATACACAATGATTCTTACTTTCAGGTGATTATACACCAATGAAAACCAATCTATTTTTGCTAATAGATCCCTGAAATTGCTAGATACTGGCCATTTAAGCCACCATTAGCTAATGCTCATAATGGATCAAGTAATACTGTAGCAGCAAAGCCCCTAAGTGTATTGACTTGCATGCATTTTATAGATTATAAACTCAGCTTTTCAAATGGAAGAGGTAGATTGTGTCCATTTTTCTTTCAAAAGTTACATAGTCTGGCTAAAAATTCTTCTCTTTCCATTCTAAGGTAGAAGAACCACAAGTATGTCAACCAAGTCTGACGTCTTTCCCCCTGTGTCTCCTACGAAGGTGCTCGATTTTCCACCACAAAGGCATTAGAAATGCATGGAACCATAGGATGCTTTGGATAAAGTCATCATCAATGTGCACCTCTGCTAGCAAGTCATCAACAAAAACATCCCAGTATCAATGTCTATCATCCCTGCAACACCTGCATCTCTCATTTCCCACTGCATCCACTTCAACACCTCCAGTTCCTCTCACATGCATCTGTGATCACGTTCATCTGCTCCAACACCAAGTCTCCCCTCCTCACATCAGTCTCTCACCTCTCCTCCGACCATCTTTTTGCTTTCCATACCTGATAGATCGAGAGAACAGCTGTGCTTCTTCTGTTCTGGTAAAAAGACCCGCCTAGTGTTAATAACCAAAGCTGTCAGAATGAGGTGCAGGGAAAAGGAATCAATCCTTACTTCGGCACAGTGGTGCTTTGAGCTTAATGCTAACATAGCCATGCTCACATGATCATAATCATAATGTTGCAGGTTTATGCCAGTGGTGGACCAACCGACCGACAAGCCAATATTGTCCAGCTGTTTTCTCGAAGCATTGAAAGTCAGATTATTCTAGTGCACACCTGAGATTCACCCAAAACTAATTTATATCTTTCAGTATTACAGATTACCTGCAACTTTCCCTGCTGCCCACAAATGTAGGCGTTGCTTTTTATACACAATTCAATTCAAGAACTTTATTGTCATTGTGGAAGCATAACAAAATCTCCTCAACCTGAAAGGGTGATGTATTTTATTAAAAGACCTCACACATATTTATAAGAAATAAATACGGCACAAATTAGATGAAAAAATCTGTATAAATATTAGCGATAAAAAAGTTTGAATCTGTGCAAGTCCAAATATATATACACAACTAACCAGTGTGCAAACATCAGCAGTTGCAGCAAAAGCACAGGTGCAGTGTGGCAGCACATCAGTCTTCTCAGACTGAGATGTCTGAGTTCTGCGCCACAGCTTTTAGAAAACAACACGAAGCTGTGGTGAGGAGCACAAAGCATCTGCGTCTGTGCGCACCGCCATCTTGCCTCTCATTTTATTAAATGCAACTGTAGAGCATGTGACACTTCTGCACAAGGAGCAGTGATACAATTCAACAAGAATGTATATGGAAGTGTGAACATACATTGACATTCTGTTTTTTATTTTCTAAGAACCATGAAAGTTTTGACAGCGATGGGAAGAGATTTATTTTCTGTGTTAATGCAGTAAATCCCTCAATGCTACAGAATGGGTTAATGGATCCAGGTGTGATGGTAAAGGTGATATTTTTGTGCATGTTTCTTACTTCTTATCTCAACCTCAGCTGGGATGTCTTGTTCAGAAGTGTAATTTCCTCTGTCTTGCATCACATCCCTCTTTTACCTCCCTCTGTTGGCTCTCACTTACGTTTTCTCACTGTGGCTCTCTTTGGCCTCCCTCGTCAAAGAGAGCCAAGATGCTTCCCTGCACCGGCATGCAAAGCTCAGTCAGAACCATGCCCTTTAACCTGGCTGCCTGTAATCTCACAGAAGGCTGACAGAGACAGTGAGGGTTTCCTCACTCTTCACCCCTCCATCTAAACCCAATCAGCCCTTCACACATTCCAGGGAGCTGATACCAGCACCCCCTAGCCCCTCCCCCCGTTACTGAGCACTTCATAGATCATGGTTATGGCCAGACAGGGTTGATTCCCGGCACTGAGTGGTACCAGCGTCTCAGTTCAACAGTAACGCTGAGCAGAGCCTCTGACTGTAAGTAGGTAGAAGGATGTCAGGATCAACTGCTCTCCGGAGACCTCACAGAGTCTCCTCAGAGGGGGTGTGCTCTAACATTGCTTCAACTTGCTTCCTTGTTATATTAAATGTATCTGCAGGTTTTGAAAAATCGAACTCTAAAATGAATCTCAAAACGATCAGAAAAGCAGGAAAACCAATTCATCTAAGTATGAACACACCGAGACATTACCAAGGTTCAGGAACATCAACCCCAACTTTGGGTTCAAATATCTACAGAAGTACCGTTAATGAAGTCGTAAATTATGAGGCTAATAGATTAACTTTGATTTCTCATTTTATACGGGGAACGAACGGCTGACTCCTGGTTCAGATGTTTGTTGGACTTATCCACCTCCCTCTCCCTCCGGCCCTTGGTGGGTTTATACTTCCTCATTCATGATTACGCGCATAACATATGAAAATATATCATAGGATGCCTACAAATGACGGCACACTGTTATTCGTAGGTATAGCCTGATTATTTCGTGCCGTCAGTGGCCCCTGTGATGAATGAGATGTTACCGTGCTTCTCCTCAGTTCTGAAGAAGTGCAGTTTGGGCTAAATGTGATGATGTCTATGCTGCACGTTCATCTATCAGACTCTGGCTCAGGCTTCCTAGTCAGGTTATTTCATCTGTTAGATAAAAACTACAGTGACCAGCGGCCAGGATATTACTGAGTGTTTATAATACCTGTGAGACGTTTTTAATTATTCATGTCTTCAGTGGAAACCAATGGGCTCTGGGCTGAGAGACACAGACAAGGATGTCAAAGAGTAGTTACAAGGCACCATTAATAAACTATTGTTGACAATAAGAAAAGTATAGAATAACTACAAACTTATCTTTGAAATATTTCAAAACCTAAACAAGTCACATAAGCTTAATTGCAGTTTTTCGTTTTTGGGAGAATCTGTGTATTCTCGCAAATAACTCTAACAAATTCAGTTAATGACATTAAGAAAATGTTACGCTGAATGAACATATGTTATTAAGACAATTTATACTTTTTAAGAACCTCTGCATGTCTTAAAAAAGCTGATTCTAATAAGATAAATATACTCTTAAATGAGATAAGACTTTTCCATTCTTGACAGGTGCCAAAAGCGAGAGAGAACAGGTCTCCCCGAGTCACAAAGACAGCAACCCAAAGTCAACAGCGTCTCGCTGGAGGGCAGAGGAAGCAGCAACGCTATGTATCACAGAGAACGGGAAGCCCCTGCCTAACGCACAAGTTGGGCTCAGAGGAATTTTATTGAATCACTACAAGAGACCAGCAGCTCTGCCTCAGTTCATCTTTGTGCTCCGAAGGCTTCACAGCAGGTGGCTGCTTTGTTTTATATAAAGAAAATGCACAAATCCTCTCTGAATCAGTCACAGTTACACACTGAGTCAGAGACGCACATGCTTTTGTCTCCCGTGTGAGCTGCTGCAAAGACTGCTTCATTTCTAACACAATATTTTTGTCTATTTTGCGTTTTTTAGTTTTTTTTGTAGTTATTGGACTAGACATTAAGCTCATCACTGTGTGTTTACTCGGGTATTAAGAGAAAATAGTCATTTCTAAGAAGTTAGTTTTCAGCTGCTCACTCTCAGTAACTTGGTGTAAATGCCATAGATGTGCTTTTATGTACTTTTCTTGAAAGGTAAGTCTGTAGTCATGCTCTTCCATCCCTGTTAAGCTCCTCTTCATCATCACATGTACTCTGCTTCCCGTCAGTGTTTCTGGCTGCTATCTTTTGCTTTAAATCCTGAAGAGCTCAGAGTGCCAGGTCTCTCGCCGTGCTCCTTAATACCCGTCACTCCTTCCATTCAAAGCAAAGACAAAAAAAGCTGTGTAGCAGTGCAGCCGGACGCTCACAGCGTTACCATGGTGAGCTTCAACAATGCCGCCCTCAGCCAATCCCAGCTGCTGGTCCACCAGCGTTACAACCAGCTTCAGACGCTTCATACGAATGAAGGTCGCGGGAAAAACGGGTCAATAGGGTTTCATAAGGTTGTGGGGTCGACCAATGACCCCCCCCTCACAGCCACACACACACTCAGACACACCCCACTACCAGCAGAGTCATCACACAAATGAGGGAGTCATAAGGAAGCTACTTACATCCTCTCAAATTATGAATCAGGGAGTTGTGATTAGTGGTATGTCTCGAAAACTCACATAGAAACAGGAATCACTACACAATTTAGTTGTAAAATTTTTTTTTTTGCTTTACAATTAACAGTAACCTTTGATGCTGTTACTTCATAAATTGGAAAAACAGTGACGTTTCACATTTTTGTAAGTTCAGCTGACCTGTCCATCTGAAATACCCACCAGGTAATGGTAGCAATTAGAGCATATTCATTGGACGTGTGCCGAGTGAACATTGTTTATATGTTCCCTACATTAAGAGCAACATGGTTTGTTCCAGGAACCTTGTTGGAAATGATTAAAGCACAGAACCATGAAATAAAGGGTTAGCAACCCATCAGGTACTTTTCCAGGATGCTCCTGTAGTGGCTGTAAACACACATATCAATATATCGCCACGCATGTGCGCACACACAAACTAGCACACATTCTGTGCACTTCACACAAGTAAGGCATACAGACTGTGGATGTAATTGTAAATTGTTTGTTTTCCCCCTAAAAGTGCCTTACAGCTCCTACTCAGATGTTTGGCACACGTGTATATGAAGGTGATGTGCACATGTTGAAGCCTTACCCAGTTTGAACATCATCATGGTGATCAGCACCGTCCTCTGACATCTGGACCAAACTCTTCCAAACTCCATGGTAAAACAGGATGCTGAGGTTTCAGTCAGTGTCAGTGTCTGCTGTCAGTCCACAGGTTCTCCATCCGGCACACTGCAGCGCTCCATCCAGGCTGCTCCAAGTTAGCTGCTGAGAGAGAGCTCCAGCGCCTACATCCCTGACCACAACGACTCTGGGTCTGAGTGTGTGTGAATGTGTGTTTGGGATTGTGTGTGAGTCTCTCTGGAGACCAAGCTGGGCTTGAGTAAAGCAGAGTAATCGCCCCAGCGGAGAGTGAGGGGAGGAAGACATGAGCTGGAATGCTGGATTGGACTCATTCAACACTGGCTTATTTTTTTTTGCATTTACATGTTTTCAGGAACTACTCGTTGCACACACCTGCATTTAAATCCAAAGTGACACCAATCAATCAGAGAGATGCTGGGATTTCCAGGGCTGCAACTTACAACTAGTAACTTGATCACGAGAGCTTCAAGCAGCTGATTAAGTTGCTGATTAATAGAAGAATTGCTTGGTGTGTAAAATGTCAGAAATGACTGAGTCCATGGTGATGTCAGCAAACAAGTAGGGATCAAGATACACAGCAATAATTATCTAAACGTGTTGGCAATCGATTAATCAACTCATTGCTTCAGTACTGAACATTTTCAACAACAATTACTATTCTGAATCATTTAAGATGCTTAAATAAAGACATACTACATTTTCTCCTGGTGATAACAAACTAAACACACATTACATGATTTATTGGAGAAATAATATTTGCGATGTATAAAATAAGAGATGAATTACAAATCAAATTGAATGAAATTAACCAGTGCCAGATGAAGACTTCCTTCATGTCAAATATGTCAGGGGCATCAACATGTCCTTTGTATACTCATTGAATTGTCCTGTATCTCCCTGTGCCATAGTCTAAAGGGAAACGTGTTACTCCGACAACTTCCATGAAAACAATGTATAAAAAGAATCCCTCACAATCATCCCTTGTGATCTACTAAAAGTGTTTGGCGTTGAAGATCTACAGGCTGCATTCATTCAAACCAGCACCTTCCTGTGTGGATGTGATTATTTGTGCTTTGGAACAAAACGTCCGTGAAGGAATCAGAAAATAACTTTTTATTCTTCTGATTCACGGCTTTGGTCTCACCAACGAGTCTCTCTCTCTCCCTCTCTCCATCCCTCTCTCTCTCCCTCTCTCTCCCTCTCTCTCTCTCCCTCTCTCTCTCTCTCTCCCTCTCTCTCCCTCTCTCTCTCTCCCTCTCTCTCCCTCTCTCTCTCTCCCTCTCTCTCCCTCTCTCCCTCTCTCTAGCTCCTGGATGACGGGTAAACTTTGAATGCTGTGTTTACAAGCAACAACTGAAATGTGACTACATATACCTTTAATAAAGGGTTAATTAAACTGTCATCCATAGCAATCTTAAACATATTGATTTTACCACTAACCAAGTAACATTATTTTTATAAACTGTATTAACTATGAATCATGATTTATCATTTTTAAATTGAACAACTAAATATAAGACTATAAACTATAAGAAGTCCTGGTTTTGCCTGATTTACTGACGATTGACTACTTTGGAGGAAATTCACCAGCATTTTTTTTTCAGAAAGTGTAACGTTCTTGAACGGAATACAAATCACAAGACACTGAACTCCAGGGTTCATGTCCTGCATCCTGAATGTGGTTAGAGTCGGTTAAGGCTAAACACTGAGAAGCTTAACGCTTCCTTTGTGTCTCCGTTGATGTTTTCAGCGTTTAATCAAAACAACTTTTTAATAAAGTAGTCTAGTTTTACACTTTCAAGTGCTGGTTGTAGATCAATGAATTGTTGCTCCCCAGTTCACTCAACTTGCACCCCCACCTTTGGGAGCTTACCCAGCACCTTTCTGGTTGGTGGAGGCCTCGATGGTAGGTTGACGAATGCCTTACTCACCCCCACTCCACCTTCCACTCCCACACGCACTCCCATCCCCAGGCCCTGATCCCAGCGTCAGGCTTAACTCCAAACTGCTGCGTTCACAACAACAAAAAAGTTTAATTAAACACTCAGTGAGGAGGTGGGTTAGGGGGGGCGGGGGGCGTTCAACAAGCGGCATGCAAATGTGTAAAGTAGTGAGTCACAGCAGCTCCACATTCCTCAGTGACTGGCTGCTGAGCATTAAAGCAGCAACACAATAGTGAAACAGACAGCAGGCTGACAAGGAGCTCAGCCAGTTGTCTGTTTGTCTGTCTTTCTGTCGAGGAAAAGTGAGGTACAAATGTCATTAACATATACTGTGCCATGTTTTCCCTGAACTCAGCTCACTTTAGATGTGTGGCTCCCTCTGATCATCGGTCTTATGACACAACATATAGAGAACATTGTAAATAGAGGAGTAGTGGCCTGTTCCAGACCTCTTAATTACGCCATCTCCGATTTATTGGAGACCGCTACGGCCTGCATGGAAAGGGTCATGACTGGTGCTAATGATGGGGGTAAAAGAGCTAACCTACTGCTAGCGAGCTTTTTTAATAGCATGTTTACTGCTGGCAATGAATTTGACAATTCTGTTTAATGCATTTATTTATGTTACGATAGATAGGTTGCAGTAGGAGTTGATCTTTTACAATGCAATGCTTGTCATTCTGCTAAGATGCCATTGATCTGATTCATAATCATCATATGTTGTGTTTCCAGGCAGACAATCTGAATAGAGTTATTGGAAGTGTTTTGTTGGGTGTCAAAAGGATAACTACACCTTCAACTTCTGCTAGAAGAACTCTCCCTCCAAACATATCTAAAGGAAACACTGCAGTGCCTGTTCAGAGCCATAACTTCATCACAGTTGTTGAGAATCGCTCATCACTCGTTCTCACAGTAAAGAAAAGTTCAGTTGTACTGGCAGTATATCCAGCATGCAGCAGCAAAAGTGAACTGCAGTCTGGATGACATAATTGACTCAACTTGCGGAGCGCTGAAGCCCCGGCCCCACTGCTGCGCAGAGCGCTGCTGATCGTTTATACAAAGTTTATTTATATTGAACTTGGTGCATATCCAAATTCCATCAAATCGGTAGAACATCTAATGAACAAGATTTGTGAATGACACATACACACATAAACACATATACACACATCCATACAGACAGAAATTCCTTGATAGTTTTATACAGCTATCGGCCACATATTGGGTCATTTAACCTTCATATCTACACATGTCCATGTGGTTGTGGTTGTGTAGAGGAAAAGAAGTTCAGACCAGGCCAGTTGATGAAGTCTAAACTAATGTTCCCCAACTCTATTGTTATTCCATACTTAATACTGGTGTCCAGATGATCTTTGAAGAACAATGAGACAGAGTTTGATGCAATAGAGTTTATTCTTCAAACAAAGAACACAACCCGAGCCATATAATACCAACGGGGCTCTAAGGATGTCTCAAGCAAAGACAGTTCGCTCCATTAGCGGTAATAACATAGTTATTAGTGTTGTAGGCTTCCAAATAGTTTGAAGCTTCATTCACAACATTGACATTTGAATCATTATTATTAACAAAATACAGAACCATTGCATGCAAATCCTCTTTCCCTCTCTCTCTCTCTCTCTCTCTCTCTCTCTCTCGAATGCTCTCTCTCATACACAGCAACGCGGACATTCACAACATGTTCTTATCTGAGGACATTTTCCGTCTAAATTCACATTTGTTGGCGTTTAGCCCTCTTAAAAAACAACATTTTCTCTGCTGTCAAAAAGACGTTTGTTCTCCAGCTTGCTGGCTGGCACACACCTGTATGTACGCTGTACCAGTATGTTTATCCCTCTTATCGGCTACTCACCATCACAAGCAGGTTCAACTACTTCAGATTGGCATCCGAAATGAGCAGAAACCAAAACTGCTGCGAAAAGAAATGCACTGTGAAATACCTAAGTTTGGGTTTGGTTTGGATCGGCAGAGATAAATAGAAAGAGAGAGGCACACAGAGATAAATAGATAGAG